GACAGCCGCCCTCCCCTTCCCGTCCCCCTCAGGGATCCTCTGCTTTCCCGAGCTGCAGCCCTGGGACCTGGGAGAGCTTTGTCCCAGGTGTCAACTCTAACTGAGGGTGACAGGATTGCGTTCTTGCAGGGACAGCTTGTGAGGGCGGCTCTGTGCTTCTTAACATCTGTGGCAAAGACCAACCAGTTGCCTGTTTAAAATGTCCAAGCTGCCTCAGTGACACAGCTGGTCTGAACCCTGCCCCTCATCAACGAGAACGTGACATCTGGGTGCTGCCACAATGTGGCTGCAGAAGGTTCTAGGTCTCATTCTCGGCTGGAGCCCTGCTCTGCTCACAGATCCACAGGCCCCACCTTTGACGGCCCTGGTGAAGCACTGCCAGAGGCAGCCCCACCCCTCCTTGCAGAAAACTCCTCTCCCGTTCGTTCCCAAACAGCCAGGGCGAGGGTTTCGGCAGAGGCACAGGTCACGCCACAGATCCACGCCTCTCCGCACGGTCTCTCGATGGCACAGACATTTCTGCAGGTCTGTGTGTGACGCAGCCTCAACCTACCAGAAGTGCAGCCCTGGGCATCTGTCCAGCTGGTGGTCAGCTCTCAGCCACCGCAGGGACAGCTGCGGCCTGAGCACCATCGCACCCGGGCTTTCCAAGCACTTTCCTATGTCTGCTTGGAGAGTGTGTGCTCTTAGCAAATCTGCAGTCTCTCAAACCAAGGAAAAGTAAAGGTGTGACTTATAAAACACCGAAATACTCCACGTTTTCCCTCTTGTCTGACGATTCCTCGCCACTTACCTAAACCACACCACGTCCAAGCCTAGATCTGGCTCCATCTACCTCACCTCTAATTTTAATTTGGGGGACTGGTCTCTGAGTGGGTATTTCTGGGGTTCAAGCCCTGCTGAGAGCAAGGCCTTAACAAACGGGGCGCAGTCTCATACCGGCAATGACACGCTCCACGGCGTACTCGAAGTTGAAGGTGTGGACGGACGTGTGCCCCTCCCTCGCGGCATGGAGCGCGGCCTCGTTACAGATGTTGGCGATATCAGCACCTGTCAACACAAAGGTGGGGTGGAGGAAAACAGGGTGGGCTTTAGCACTATCAGGGTTTAAGAAGAAGGAAAGTGGCCAGGTGTGGTGGTTCACGCCTGTAATCCCAGCACTCTGGGAGGCTGAGGCGGGAGGATCACTTGAGGCTGGGGGTTTGAGACCAACCTGAGCGAGAGCCCATCTCTACAAAAAATACAAAACTTGGCCAGGTGTGGTAGGGTGAGCCTGCTATTCCAGCTCCTCAGGAGGCTGAGACGGGAGGAATTTGGGGCCAGCCTGGGCAGTAGAGTGAGACCCCATCTCAAAAAAAACTCATTGGGAAGTGGACGTCGGGCGGCAGCTCCTTGCACTGTGTCAGACTGAAGCCATCGCGGATGTGAGCTGCCGAGGTCTGCCCCCTGCCCAAGTGCGCTGGTGGGCGAGGCTGCGCGGCATGCTTCTCCACGCCCGGTGGGGTTTTCTGCCACCTCACCTTGCACATGAGCATCGATGGGCGCAAGATTAAAGGGCCTCTAGCAGCCCTGAGATTCTAGTTAAAGACCTTAAAAAACAATCAAAAGGGAAGGCATGATATCATAATAGAAGGGATTTTTATTTACATTAACCTTTAAACTGGGAGCTGCACAGAAACAGCTCTTGACGTGTGACGTCTTTCTACTGACTCGAGGCTGAGACTGGCGGGGTGGGGGAGGGAAGTGGCGCCGGCAGCACCTGGTGCAGGTGCGAGACCCGCGGTCTGAATGCGAGAGGCCCCGAGTGACACTCCACACGATGTGGGCAGATGGCACAGGATGCCCGGAAAGCAGAACCACTGGGACACAGTGGGGGCCGCTGCTGGGGACACGGACTTCACCACTGCTGTCCCCGCAGTCAGCACAGAACACAACCGCTGCGGTTTCCCAGCGCCGAGGGGACACAGCAGTGTCTGGGCCTCCTGCTGCTTCCTGCAGCCCACGTGCTGTCTGGTCCCACCCAGCTTGTACTGACCAGGGCATCCCCGAGACGAGGGGCAGCGCTACCCGGTAGGAAGGCCCGATACCCGCCTGCAGGTGAGACCACCTGCCCTCAGACTGGTGCTGCGCAGGCTGCAGGCTAAAAACATACCACTGAATCCAGGCGTCAGCTCCGCCAGACGCTGGGAGTAGAAGGTGCTGGCCTGGGTCAGCTTCAGGCTCTTCAGGTGCTGCTCGAAAATCTCACGCCTCTCCTGCCGGAAAGAGGAAGGAGGACGCGAGGTTGGGCTGGAACAGGTATCGCGGAAGGCGCGGTGTGCACGTCTCTGTGCAGAGTGGCGACCCCACGCGTCCACCGCGCAGATGAGACCTGAGGATTTTTTTTTCTTTTTTTTTTTTGAGACAGAGTGTCGCTCTGTTGCCTGGGCTGGAGTGCCGTGGCGTCAACCTAGCTCACAGCAACCTCAAACTCCTGGGCTCAAGCGATCCTTCTGCCTCAGCCTCCCAAGTACCTGGGACTACAGGCATGTGCCACCATGCCCGGCTAATTTTTTCTATTTTTAGTTGTTTTGGCTAATTTCTTTCTATTTATAGTAGAGACGGGGTCTTGTTCTTGCTCAGGCTGGTCTTGAACTCCTGAGCTTAAGCAATCGTCCCACAGTGCTAGGATTACAGGCGTGAGCCACCGCGCCCGGCTGAGACCTGAGTTCATAAGTGACAGTTCCTCACCATCGGTCACGACCCGTGGCCGGGGAAACCAATTCAGAGAGCTGCAAGCAGTATTTTAAAAATGAAAATGAGCGAAATAAATAAATAAATGAAAACGAAGCGCATCGCACACAGCTAGGGTTTACTTTGCAAAATGTTTGATTCCCATGCACACTGCATGTTCTAGATCTCGACGTGAAACGCTTCCCACATGGTCAAACAAGACAGCCAGCCTCCCAGAGACGCAGCGCCCTGGTCTCAGAGGGAAGGGCTCCTGCTCTGCTCTCGCCCTCCACCCCATAGAAGCCACACCAGCCCCAACCAGCCGCCCTTGGGTCCTCGCTCTCACCCCTCCCTCCACGAGCTGAATTCCTGCTCCCTCAGGGCCACAGCGAAGGCCCTTCGGCCAGGAGGCGGGACGCACAGCCAGAGGCCTCAGACAGAGGAGGATGCGGGGTGAGAGGCCCCAGGCCATGGGACTTCTACCCACCCCACTCGCAGGGCAGCTGCACAGTCCACAGTCCCACAGCCAAGCAAATCCTTGAGAGAGTTAGGACGCGGGTTCTGCGGCTGCCCACAGGCTGCAGACACAGGATTAGACACCATGCAAGAAGAAAGGGATTTCTTACTACTTTTCCTCCTGGATTTGGTTTCAAAGAATTTGCTATAAAACTCAACCAAGGCCAGCACATTCAACCCCAAATGTTTAAGGATAAAAGAAAAAACAATGGGTGAACAAGTAGCAAAACCAACAAAGAGTAAAGAATCCAAGAAAGTGGACAGGCAGCACCAGGGGGCCCACAGCAGGCGTCACGCCACTACCGCGTCCTGCAGGCCAGACACCTGCACAGCCAGAGAAGACCGGCCCTGGCAGGCCATGTGCCCAGGCCACGCTGGCCAGTCCTGACCCCTCCATGGTCTTGGGGGAAACTCCACCGAGCCCCGGCTCTGACCTGCAGGGTGGGAAGGTCAATGAAGACGTGTCGGTCAAGCCGGCCTGGCCTCATCAGAGCGTTGTCCAAAATGTCGGCTCGATTGGTGGATGCCAGGACGATGACGTGGTCTGTGGTGCCCATGCCTGAGGGTACAGAGCAGACGCGGTGGCCTTAGGGGGGCATCCCTGACACAGCGGCTCTCCCCTGCGCGCTACCCTGTTAGGACGTGGGAGGGAAAGGCCTCTCCCAAGGCCCAGTGAGAAAGGAGCACGCGCGTCCTTCTGGACCAGGGGCAGTGGCTTGACTTCCTTGGGAGCTTCCAACCAAAACCACCAGGAAGAACAATGGTCCCTGTTTCGGCAACTGAAAAGAGCGACAGCTCCCCCAGGTATCTGCTGAGGCAGAACCGACCACATCTCTGGGGGGATCAGGCGTCCAATGGTGCCCCCGGGAGCTGCCCTCACCCGGCCCTCTCCCTGGGCCAGGGTCGTTACTTCTGGACACTGCAACACTGTAACACCTGGTCTTAGGACCCGGGTGTTAGGCTCAGTTCTCACCTGAGAATTCTACAGTGAGTTCAGAAACTAGCACTGGACACTGATTTGAATAAATCAACTGCAAAAAAGGCATTTATGAAGCAACCAGGGAAACCTGAGCCTAACTGGGTGTCAGATGCTATTACAAACTTTTAGGCCCGGCACGGTGACTCACACCTGTAATCCTAGCACTCTGGGAGGCCGAGGTGGGTGGATCACTTGAGATTAGGAGTTCGAGACCAGCCTGAGCAAAAGTGAAACCCCATCTCTACCAAAAATAGAAAAGTTAGCTGGGCACGGTGGTGCTCGCCTGTAGTCCCAGCTACTTGGGAGGCTGAGGCAGGAGGATTGCTTGAGCCCAGGAGTTGGAGGCTGCAGTGAGCTAGGCTGATGCCACTGCACTCAACTCTGGGCGACAGAGTGAGACTCTGCCTCAAAAAAAAAAAAAAGCCAGACGTCAACCCCGCTCTCATCCCCAGGGCCTGAGACCCGCTGGGTAGCTGGCAGTGAAAACCTCACACCACCTATGTCACCTGAGAGGACAGAGAGTGGGAACGGCAGCTTCGGTGTGTGGGCCATCGAGAGTGCTCAAGGGGCCACTGGGAACAGAAGCACGGTGCCAGCGCACTCACCCGTGGGCCACGCGCGGTGCCAGCGCTCCCTCTCTCACCCAAGCCCTGAGCCCCAGCCCGCAGCTCCGTCTGCCCAGACTCGCTATCTGCCCTGGTCCGGGACTGGCAGAGGCTCACCCAGCGCTCCCTAAGCTGCTCTTATCACGCTTTACCAACAGGCCTTCAATGAGGAACAGGTGGGGGTGGGCCGCCTCTGCCCGACGCGGGTGGGGGGTGTCGGAGCTTCTCACACGGTGCCGAGCACCAGGACGGCAGCAAACCCCACCCAGAGCAGCTGTTTTCTCCAGAGTGCACACTTCTGACCACAGGACCCCCAGGTGGGGCCAAAAAGCAGCCCCCAGTGGAGGCCAGTGCTGCTGGTCTGGAGAACACAGTGAGAATCACCAGCGTACGCCAGTGTGCTCGAGCCTGGCACACGCTGGAGCCACCGGGGCCACCCGGGGAACCAGGGCCTGGGCTCCCGAAGTGTCGCTCTGTACTCCCACGCTGGGCTGCCTGGGCACGAGAAAGCCCACAGCAGACATTGCTGGAGGCTGTTTATTACTTAGAACCAAAGAAGAAAGAGTCACAGCATAGAACGCTCACAACAGCCTTTCTCACGTTTGACTTCCACCGTTCAGGGGTGACTAAGAAAACCTCTATACGCTGTCAGAGTTCACATCACGCCACGGCCGTTTCCTCTGGAGCTGGGACTGGGATGTCCATCGCAGAGGGACATTCCTGAGCAAAGCGCCCCTTCTGCCGATGACCCTGTGGGCAGGGAACCGGGCTGGACCGGGCCCTTCCCACAGGGGCCTGGTGTCCTACAGGGACGAGCGCCTGGGCTGACGCCTGACCTACAATGCCGGGCCTTTTCTCTGCCTTGGTGAGTTTTCCCACGACTGACGCAGCATCCGCTCCATCCTCTGCACAATGAACAGAGCGCTCCGCCCCGAGGAAGCACAGAGGCACATCTGAGGGGCGAAGAATGCACAACTGTGTCTCCGCATAAAGGGGCTTGTTTGGTGCCGGCCCAGCCCAACAAGAGGCCCTCAGTTAGCAGATTCTCAGGCCCGAGCAAACCCAGGGGCGGAAGCAGCTATTTTTACAGTAATACAGAGAGATTCGGCTCTGAAAAAAATGTCACTGGATAAATGCTTCCTGGTGGGCTCAAGTCTGCCCAAGAAGGTGGTCTCTATTTTCAGAGCAGAAAGTAACACGAGCACAGAGCACAGGCTCCGCTCCCAGGGCCCTGTGTGTTCAGGGAGGCAAGAGCCACGTGGGACCGTCTCCTCCCGAGTTTCCTTCGCCGTCACCTGCAACGACGTCTGCTCGGCGCACAGAAGCACGGCATGGCAGGATGGCAGGATGGCAGGATGTGGTTTAGCCTCACCCACCCTCACCTCACGAACCACAGCTCGGTCGAGAGGGGCCTGGCGTGAAGCCACGCAGCGGCCCTCTGCACGTCCACGGGCGTGGCTGTGTGTGCGGCTCTCTCAGGGCATCCACGGGAGCCCAAGACACACGTGGAAATCACCCCACTTTCATCAGCAGTGAGGCTTAAGGACTAGTTACTGGTGGACCAGTCATCTGATGACTTTCGAAAGGCTGCGCTCACCTCTTGACCATGAGCGTCACGAGAAGTTATTCATTCCTTAAAGAAACAACCAGAAGCTACAGGTACGACCTGGCCCCTGTGGCTGCAGAGCGCGTCTGGTGCGCAGTGCTGGACTTTTCTACGCCGCTCTCACTCCACAGCCCAGGTGGCTACCGGGAAGCACTGTGAGCTCTTCCACCGGAGCGCGTTCGTAAACCTGGGGCTTCCTGATGAGCACCGTCCGCAGACTTCCGCCCGTCACACCATGCAGCTGCCACTTCCTGCCACTTGCCGACGGTCACGAGACCCTTGTGGCCAGAGCCCAAGGTGAGATCTCTCAGGACTCCAAAACTACCCACTTGTCCTTGGGTAACTTCCAAGAGCAACAGTCAAAGCCACACACCACCTAAGAGACGATTTAAAGATGCTCAAAATACAATATGGTTGAAGACTCCGCCCGGCATCTTTCTAAAATGTAGTAATAAACATCGTTTCAACAGCAGGTCCAGCTCCTCCGTCGCCGGGCAGAGCTGAGGCACAGCCTCGTTCCCTCAGGAGAGGGTGAGTGCACGGCCAGAATTCCCGACAGCCCTGGAGCTCGCCTGGAGGGTCCTCTCGGAGGGTCCGTGGAAGACCCATCTCTGAGCGGGTGTCTCCCGACAATGACATGTCAGCACTTGAACCACTTGCCCACGTCTCTGAGGACACTTAGCGCTCTGAAAACTTTACTCCCCTACACGTGCAAGGTGGCTGTTCGGACCTCAGTAGACTCACGCCACTGTTCCTGAACACGCGTGTTGACAGATGGCTGGACTACCGAGACAGGAAGGGGCGGTGGGCAGCTCCAGATGCAACCCGTTCTTCTCAGGACACCTGAATAATGCAGCTTTTCCCTGATGTCACTGGGCATTTCCCTTTGGCTTTAAACGGGCAGAGCGCTCAGAGCTTACAGAACACGCCCCCCCAACCCCAGCATCAGTCCGCCTAGCATCACGGCACAGAGCGGCAGACGGTGGGTCTGGGCACCCAGGTGAGATATGAGCTGAGAAAGGCCCAGCCCCTTGGCAGAGCCCGCCCTGCGGACGAGACACACAGACGTCATGTCACGTCTGTCCTGCAGAATGCACAGCTGCCCCCAGCCGAGGATTCACCACAGCCTCACAGAGAGGATGCTCCTCATGGGACAAGCACCGTGGTCACCAAGACAAAGACCGAGAAAGGAGCCAGGATGGAGGAGGCCCGGTCACCGACACCACCGCCGGGCTCTGACTGGAACGGAGCGGAGCGTTCGCCTCACCGCAGCCTGCAGGAGCTGGGGGAGCCATCAGGAACACTGCGACTACTTCTGCAACACTTTTGTAAGTCCAAAATTACTTCAAAACGAAAGGTTGAAATGAATTTTCACCCTTAGTCATGTACAATCAAAACTCTACTGTATATACACCAACAGACACACTCTTCCAAACAAGAGGCGACATTTAAAAGAGGAAAATAGACTATACATGTTTTTTTGGAACCAAAACTACTTTGAAATAAAAGTGTCTCCATAATCTACAATACCTGCAATGTAACTAGAATTCTGATTAAAGAAAAGCTAAGAATGAATCTTACAGAGCAGAACCCTTAAGAGATATTTCTACGCGTGTTCACAGTGGCATGATTCACAATGGCCTCAGTGTCCGTCGATGGGTGAATGGATTAACAAAATGCCATCCACACACACAATGGGATGTTATTCAGCCTTAAAAAGGAAGGAAATTCTGACACATGGTACCACATGGATGAACTTTGAGGCTATCCCTGTCAACAGCGAAAGAGGCAGACACAGAAGGACAAGCACTGTGTAATCCCACTCATGTGAGGTCCCTGGAGTCGCCAATCCAGAGACAGAGAGTAGAGCGGGGCCGGGTGTGGTGGCTCACGCCTGTAATCCCAGCACTTAGGGGCCAAGGAGGGACAACAGCTTGAGGCCAGGAGTTCCAGACCAGTCGGGGCAACAGAGCAAGACCTCATCTCTACTCCACAAAAAATTAAAAAACAGAAAATAAAATTTTAAAAAAAGTAGAATAGAGGTTGCAAGGGTCTGGGGGAAGGGAATGGGAAGTTATTGCTTAGTGGGAGCAGAGTTTCTGTTTGGGTTGAAGAGAAAGTTCCGGAGACGGTTGCACAACAGTGTGAATGTGCTTATTGCCACTGAACTGTACACTAGAAAACAGTTAATATGATGAATTTTATGTTATATGTATATTACACCATGATATTCATGCAAAGAAAATGTCTCTTGCAAAAGTAGCTCAAACGACAAACAATTCCATGTCACGTTTGTTGGGTCAGCTCCATTAAAAAGAAAAAGAAACTGCGGAAGCCTGACCGGAGGTCACCGCCGGGCACCGACCACAGCGGAGCGGGGCGGGACGCAGGGCACTGACCGTCCATCTCCACCAGAAGCTGGTTGAGCGTCTGCTCCTCCTCCGTGTTGGAGAAGCCGGACACGGCGGTGGCGCGCCTCTTGCCCACGGCGTCGATCTCGTCGATGTACACGATGCAGGGGGCCCGGGCCCGCGCCTCCTTGAAGAGGCTCCGCACACGAGCAGCACCAAGGCCTGAGTGGACACAGAAAGTACCAGGAAATGGATGGACAACAGAAAACAAATCCTTTCCTGCACTGGGGCCAGGCCCAGCTGCCCCCAAGGATGACAAAACCCACACAGGCCTCCTCCTCTGCACACAAACCAGCAACTTGCTCCTGCCGGGGCCTCTTCAGCGGTCCTGGCCTCCCCTGGCCACCAGTGCATGTGGCTTCAAAGCACGTCACCCCCCATTCGCCAGACCCAGCACTTCCTCTAACTCAGGCTCCCGCGTCCCTCCTCCACACCCGACGGCGCCTGAGGATGGCACTCGGAAGGAGAGCCATCCCAGACAAGGTCAGCTGAGCCTGTCCACGGCCCCACCAGCACCCACCTCCGATGACCTCCACGAACTCCGGGCCGGCCATTGCCAAGAAGGGCACCTGGGCCTCTGTGGCCACTGCCTTGGCCAGCAGCGTCTTCCCACAGCCGGGGGGTCCAAGCAGCAGCGCACCCTTCGGAACCTTGGCGCCAAGCTGCAGGAAGCGCTCCGGGCTCTAGACAGCAGGAGACAGCGCGAAGCTGACCACTTGGGTTTCAGAGAATGTTTAAGAAGGAGCAAGTAGGACAGCTACGGCTCACGCGGTTCTGGCAAAGGCAAAGAGCCGTGCTCGGTGTCCCCATGGGGCGGGGAGGTCACCACTCAACACTCATCATCTAATCAATGGAATTCCCATCCCCGAGGTGGCCTCCTTCTGGGAGAGAAAGGGCGCCGCCGGCACATCTCCCTCCTGCTCAACACGAGGCTCGGCTCTCACCTTCAGATAATCCACAAACTCCCGGACTTCCAATTTGGCTTCATGCATCCCTGCCACGTCTTTGAAACTGACTCCTTTGCCCGTCTTCCCATCCACAATCGTGAAACGAGCCATTCTGAGCTGATTCTATATGGAAAGACACAGCATAAGCAGCTACGTGCTCTGGGTAGAGCGAGGGGACCTGCCGGCAGCTGGACGCTGGAGGCTCAGCCCCTGGCATCTCAGCCGACTGCAACCCCACTGCCCCCTGGCTCCAACCTGGGAGAGCCCCACACCCCACTCCAGTCAGACGGGGGTCACAGGCCGCTCTGCAGACACATAGGGAAAGGTTTGTTTTACATCATTAATTGGTAAGAAAGTTATCTAGCGATTGCTTTAAAAAAATCCTCCCACACCACAGGGAGGACAGTAAACTGTCCTACTCTATATGATTTTCCCCACTACTGTGTGATTTCTTTTTCTGACTATAAAAGTAATGCGGTAATAATCAGCACTGGGGGGTCTTGGTGCAAATGTTAATTGGTAAATTCCTGGAGAGCTGCGGGCAAGGCAGGAAAAGCTCCTCGCACGTGCACGTGCTTCGACCAGACCCCACTCTCAGGAAGACACACAGGGCAGACACGCAGAAGATGTGTGTGCGTGGAATTCATCCCGGTGTCATTTAAATACATCAAAAATAGGAAAAAATTATGAAACTTGCTGAATAAAACATGGTACAGCCCCACGATGAAATACCATGGTGCCGTTAAAAATAATAGTGTCAGTCTTTGGCTAGACAAAGAAATATGCTCCTAGTGTGAGTGGAAACAACAGGGTGACACTCTGCAGCTGTGCCCCAGCCCCTCCCAGGGGTGGAGCAGGGACCACCCACCTGACGTGTCCACCACCCTGGCCAAACCCCAGCAGAGGGGAAGCTGCAGAGGGACAATGCACTTCACGATAAAGTCACCGTGAGGGAAGACTGCTAAAGCGTATTGAGGTTGTTCCTTTAAAGACAACCTTTAAAACTCCTCAGCTTTTTAGCTGGTAGAGAAACCAAGGGAAAAAAGTCGTTCCCAGCCACTTACTGAAAACTGTAGAATAAACTGCCCTATAAACTCACTTGGTTCAGCCACCCAGAAGTCAGGAGAGAGGGGCCCCTGGTCCACACTGGTCACTATATACCCTTCAGCCAGCCAATCAGAAGGAACCGTGAGCTGCCACATTAAGGCTTCAGGCTGGTCTTTGCAAGAGGTTAATTGTCACTACATACTTATTCTGTAGTTCATGGGAAAAGCTTTCAGCAAATGGAAACACGGAAAAGCCCTGAGACTGCAAGTTCAGCCAAGTCCGATTTGCACGACTTACAAAAGCACTGAATCCGCCTTCCCTTCCGGTCATGCCAGTCAGACGGAAAACATACCACAGGATGGCCAGGCCCACTGCCGTCATCCCCAGGGCGTAGAGTGCACTGCGGGGGAGAGACAGAGGCCGTTGCGGGTTGACATACACACCTTACAAGAACAATCACTGACAATGGTTCGAAGATGAGAAGGGCAAACCCTAAGTCCGAGACTGATGTGTGGAACAGAATGGTTGTGAAATGGGTTCTCTCGCCCAGTTCTCACTGATCATCCTCCTCCCTAAGGTTTCCCAAGGGATCAGACCAAGTGTGCAACAGCTAAGGATCCTTATTTATCCTACGCCCTTGTGACAATGACCAGCAAGAGCAGGTTTCTGTATGTTCAGTATATTTCCATCAGTAGGCTATCGGCTTCAATTAGCAAGGCAAACGAGCCTGGCAGCAGCAAAGCCAATCCCGGGACTTCGGTGCTCAGCATGAAGGGGGCTGCCCTGGGGCTGCCCCGCACCTCCCTGTCCTGTCCGTCATTTTCCTAAAATAAAATCGGAAGTGCGCCGAGCTTTCAGGACTCACTGGGTTGCAGAACTGAGAGGCACATCACTGCAGTCCCTGGCATTCTGCATCTTACCAGGTTACGAGTCTCCAGGAAACCTCTCTCTGCACGGGGACCAGTCACCGTGGTGCCAGCAAAGCTGGGAAAGGATCGTGGCAAATGTGCTTGCTCACTCCTAAGGGCCTGCCGAGGTCTGTGGCCCTCACCCGAAAGCTCCTCCCGCATCTGTCTCTCTCGACACTGAAGCAAGAGTGTCTGTTTCTACCCTTTCTGCTCTGCTTGTCTGTAGAAGGCAGCAAGCCCAATTCGGAAGTGCCAGATGACTAAAGAAAGATTGAACAACTTGCAGGCAGTCGGCCTCCCCGTCTGTGGGCTCAACCACGCAGACTGGAAATATTTGGGGGAAAAAATCAAATCTGTCCTGAACATGTACAGATTTTTCTGTCATCATTCCCTAAACAATGCAGCATAACAACTATCGACATTGTATGAGATACTATAAGTAAATCTAGAAATGATGTAAAGTGTACAGGAGGATGTTCTCAGGTCACACGCAAATGCTACATTTCACATCGGGGACCTGGGCTTCCTTGGGTATCGGCGCCCTCCCCGACACTGAAGGGTGACTTCACGGCCCAATTTCCCAACGCTGCATCCTTCACCCCTGCACTTGCTTAGCCCTCCCACAAGGGATTCTAGCAAACTGTAGGCAAAGACAGTCTGAGACTTCTGTTTGCGACTAGCTTCTCACATCACAGGGCCAAGCCGTGTTTAGTTCAAGAGTCCACAGGAGTGACCAGCATACTTCCCAAAGAATCCCGTGCGCTTGTAGGAAACCGGGATCCTGTCCTTGCCATCGATGTTCAGCTCGTCTTCAGCTGCTCGAAGCTTCTCTTCAAATTTGTCGATATTTGCGACCTGCATTCGGTACATCAAGGCCAGCCTCTGGGGCAGAAGCAGAGGGGACAGTGAGAGAGTTAGCAGGACAGACCGTGCACGCCACAGCGAACAGAGAATGGGGCCTGACGCATGCTGAACAGACAGCTTTAGGGTTCTGAAGAGGATGTCATTCAGAAACTAAAGAGGATCAACTTACAATTGTCCACCTTAAGATTGTTCAACTTTACAGCGGTGCAAAACCAACACACGTTCAGTTCATTTCTTGACACAACGAGGCTACCTTTGGACAAACCTATTGGAACTTGAAAATGAACTTTTTTTTTAATATGAAGGGGTGGGGAGTTGTGAGGAGGGTGCTCATTTACTTTGTTAGTTTTCGTCGAGACAGAGTCTCACTAGCGTATTGGCGTCACTGTAGCTCACTGCAACCTCCAACTCCGGGGCTCAAGTGATGCTCCTGCCTCAGCCTCCTGGGTAGCTGGGACTACAGGTGTACCTCAATGCTGGCTGGGTTGTCTTTTTCCTTTCTTTTTAGTAGAGACGGGGTCTCACTCTCGTTCAGGCTGGTCTCGAACTCTTGAGCTCAAGCAATCCTCCCGCCTCGGCCTCCCAGAGGGCTGGGATTACAGGCCTGAGCCACCACACCTGGCTGAATACACACTTCTGATCTATGGTATTTTCAGCTCTCAATGGGTTTGTCAGGACATAACCCCATTTAAGTCAAGGAACACCCTCACTTCCACGCCTAAAAAATTTTAGTTTTGTCAAACACATCTTGAGAAACAAAATTTTAATAGATATACTTTCCAGTAGGTACATTTTCCAGTAATAGGAGAATGTTAAGAGAATGGAGGGGGGTGTGTGCACCTTAAATTCAGCACCCGGCCTCTGGCTGCCGCGCAGAGTACAGCAGGAGCCGCGCACGCAGCACCGACGTGACTGCAACACTGGACGGCTGCGGCACAGTCTACCCCGACTGAGGCCAGAAGCAGATGTCCTCGCTAAGTGCAGCGGGGGACACGGCAACAGAGGCTTTGTGTTTAACCACTGACTGGATCTGAAACTCAATTAACTGGGTTTCTTCATCCCAAGTCTTCGCCCCTCATGCCATTGGAGCATGTTGTCCTCCAAACACTTTGTCCCTAATTAAGCTTTGCACGTTTAGCTCAGATTTCTGCACGGCCAGGGACGGCCACCAGCCCAAGGAGAGGACAAAGGCAGACTTCCTGGGCTCGCTCTGAGGGCAGCTGGAACTCCAGCAGCAGACAGCCCCCCCTCACTCGGGCCCCAAACTGCTGAGACAGGATTCGGTGCATTTTGTCTTGAAGGCAGTTGTGTTATCAGGTGACATGCGCGTAGCCAAGCACACGTTTCTGGTTAAATAACCTAGTGGGCCGAAGTGACCAGGCATGCACCTGGGGTATTCGCACAAATGAATCGGTGCCATCCCTCGTGTTCACCAACCATGCTCGCCTGAGCCTCCTGTCTTTTAAAATATCAAGACGGGATTGGCGGAGGGAAAAAAGAAAAAAAAAAAGGAAGAATAAAGAAAGAAAGAGAGCATCGAGACAGCCCGTGTTCCTGCCTGAGGCTGTGGAGAGGCAGGAGAGCCTTCGCCTCCACCTCAGCTCCGACAGGAACAGAATGAAGCCAGGCGCGTCAGCTGGAAACTCAGCGGAGGCAGCGAGACGGGCTGCAGAGTCCCCGAGTGTGGTGTCAGGTGGCAGCCAGAGGGAAGACGGGACCTGTCGGTACCCGAGCGAGGGGCGATGGCTCAGGGGCTCCTGGCTCCGTCTGTGTGCAGGCAAGCAGTTCTGTGCAGTGTCCACAGGCCCTGCCTGAGAAAGGCTGAGGAGAACCAGGCCGACTGACGCCAGAGGCCTGCACGGCCACTCTGACCGGGTGCCCACGCTGACCAGGAATGGGGGTCAAAGGTGAGTCAGCACTTCCCCCGTGGGTCCTAGAGGTGACACTGTCAGCCAACACCGCATGTCACTGTGCTGCAGCCAGAGTCTCCTAGGAAACCTCCTCTGGACAAACAGACTAAGGAAGAGTGTTTCCTAAAGCGGAATTACTTTGCCCACAGGTTTGCACACTTCTTGCAGACGCTGGCTCAGCGCAGCCTGGGAGTCTACGCAGGGTCCTGGGCTTGCAAGTGAGCTGGTCTGAAACCTCTCACGTCCAGAGACTCAAAAGCAGCTGACACCCCAGAAGATTCACCAGGTTGGAAGTCATGATGCATTGCAAAAAATAAATTTAAAATTTTTAAATTTTTTTAAAAAAGAAAAAGCATCCTGAATAACCCATCTAAGGGCAGAAACTCCAGTGGGGAGGTCCTGATTATCTCCACAGCCTGTAAGGGTCACAGCATCTGAGACCATTTTTCCAACAGCCTGGTGCACTTACTTTCCAGAGTTAGACTATTCCAAGCTCAGAGTCTAAACACACCCTTGGAACCTAAATTAAGCCAGGAGATTTCCCCCCGGTTCTGAATGGTCTCGGCTTGTGGAGGCTCCAGGGGAGGATGGACAGGGCCATCGGTACCCACCAGTCCCTAAGCACTTAGCCGTCATTTACAGGAGACCCCCCCCCGTGCTGGCTGGAACACCCGGTGACCGGAGTCGCTACATTCACCCAGCGAACCCCAAATGCTTGATCTGGACTTTTTCAATGCCTCAGACCACTCAGACACGTGGCCACCGCCAACTGGCACAGAAGGCAAACACACAGAAATGACCCTCTTTCCATGCCGAGATCCAGAAGCCGATTCAAACTCCACATCCTCTGTGAAGCCTCCACTTGGGCCGGACACATTCGCTGGCCTCTGCAAGGCACCTGCAGCGCTCACTGCGCACCTCAGGCGCTGAGCTCCAGGGCCAGGCCGCAGCCTTGGCCATTACCTCGTTTCTGTAGCGCACTGGAACCAACTCGCACTGTGTAACAGTCCGTGTTGATCCAACCACCCCAACTAGATCGCACGTTCTCGTCAACAGATAACCGGTGTAGACAACGGGCTCAACGGCTGGTCTGAAAGAGCTCACTGGGCAGCACTGCCCAGCTCTGGTGGAAGGAATGTGCGCCGGGCCACCCAGTTCTGCCCAGGAACCAGAGCCGGGCCTGGGAGCACACAGGAGCACTCCGGGTCCTGGGCGGGATTCCACCGTGAGGGAGAGGATGCTCTCCCAAAAACAATGAGCCCCGCGGCTATGTCGATCCCCAGCACTGTGTCTTGAGTGGCTGGTGGGAGATTTCCACTTGGAAAACTCCCTGCCACCTCTGCTCCCGACTCTGAGTGACACTCCCTCTGCCTTCCCAACACCTCACACACACCCACACGGGCCCAGCAGCACCTGAGGGCTGCGGGTGGTCTCGTCTCCTTAATGCCTCAAGCCAGGGAGTCACCCCCGGGCCAATCTGTCCCTCGCCCCACCTCCTCCTCTGTGCACGGCTCCCATGGCTGTGGGAATCCCACCATCACACTGCCCGGTGCCCTCCTCACTGACCACCTTCCTGAAGCCCCGTCTCGGTGAGCCCCTGTCCAAACCCATCAATGAACCCGCTGCGAACCTCTCCACACACATCTTGTTTTCAGACAACCAAGTAGATGAGGGTGGGGCACAAAAGGAAAAGGAACGCACACAAGGTCTCTCCACACGGGGGCCACAGCCGCCGTGCCCACGCCCGCGCCCCAACTCACAGGCCGCCCGAACACCACGGCCCCGGGGTGCAGGTAGACTTCCACCACGTCGCTCTCGGGCACCACCTGCACCCGCTGCACCTCGCCCTTGGCCAGCATCTCGTTGACGAAGTCGTTCCAGGAGATGTTGCCCCCGCTGGTGTTGAGTGAGTTCAGCAGGCTCATGATGACGGCGATGATGAACAGGGTGCGCAGCCGCTCGCGGTACATCTGGTCCTCGCGCTCCCTGCGTCTCCTCTCCTCTGTGCGGCGGGGAGCAAGGGGAGAACCAAACACAGTGGGTGAGACACAGGTAACATCCCAAGGCCGGGCACCGATCTCGGACGCCCTTTCTTCAGGAAAGCCCGGCTTTGAAGGGGCCGCGTCCTGTGTCCTCTAAGATCCGGCATTTCCGCCAATCGTTCCACAAGTCACTGGAGACAAACACTACGTACTGTTCAGGGTCACCAACCCTTCATTCACTGAGGTCACCTCAGAGAGGAGGAGGAGGAGTAGGTCCCACCTTAGATAACAGGAAACCATTTTTAAATCAAAAAACTTCCTAGGACTTAGGCTGAGGCAGGAGGATCGTGTGAGTTCAGGAGCTCGAGACCAGCCTGGGCAACACGGCGAGAACCTGGGACCACGTGCTCTCGCAGCTACACAGGCCGCCCCTCACTGCGCAGTGTGTGCTGACGAGAGCGACGGATTCAGCCACCGCAAATCTGAGTCAATACTAAATGTCATCAACAGGGTACCTGCAGCATACGTGTAAGTTACGAACAGCAATGAAACAAATACCTTTACCATAACCTGCCTCCAGAAATACCTTCCTAATCCCACTGAAGGCCCCACGTCACTCCTGCCTCCCTACCCGACAACCACCCTGAACTTTTTATTTATCAAAATAATGTTAAAAATAAGTTGTATGTTACTTACCATAATGTATGAAAATAGCACATTTAAAAATATCATAACCGCTTAATATTTTGAATTTTAAAAATACAAGATGCGCTATTTAGCCTATAGGCTATATCAGGGACAACTTGATTCTAGAATTTTCCCAGAGACCGACTCTTTATGAGAATCATCCGGTAAATTCCCCCAAATCCATCACTCAGTTATAAATACCCCACTTAAGACATAGACAGCATCATGCTCAGTTCTTAGGGGACGGAAGAAAGATACTTGGTCCCTGTTGTTGAGAAACCAGGAAATCAGCCAGGCAGCAGGAAACGGTGTGATTAAGGCTGGACCGGGATTAGCTCAGAAGGAATTGAGGGCAGCAGGTGCTCACGTGGGGCCAGCAGCTCCTCTGGGGAGGAGCGGTGGGGAGGGAGACAGAGTGTCTGTGGGAGTCACTTCCTGCAGCCCAGAGCACAGACGGAAACAGTCCTGCAGCCAGGCCAGCCCCCAAAGTGACCTGCCCGAGCCCACACCGTGGTCTTCCTTCAAAGCCACCAATGAGACAAGTTCCTCCTCCTCCTCTCGGGAGGGATGTGGGTCCGTATTTCAGACTGTGGTGCCTCCTGACCACATGATCTCACAGACCCGTTTACCCCAGGTCTCACGTCCATCTGCATGAGGACAGCGGGGGCACCTGGCCAGGTCCTCAAGGATTTGCAGTGTCACCTGCACACAGCTGACGTCTGCAGTGACCACCTGCTGCAGCCCACCAAATGGCAGGCAGGCAGAACTGTGGCAGGACGCCTTTCGGGAAACACTCGTGCAGCCCCTGCCCAGTTCTGTCCGAGACAGGCCCAGACCTAGCTCAGAAACCAAAGCTTCAGTCACCGTCTAGGTCTCCCAGCAGCCTGTGCACAGATGTCACTCTGTCTTGTCACCCCTGCTCCAAACAAGAACAGAGACACGGACACAGGCAGCACCAAGGACAAGACACGAGAAAGTCAGAGAGCCAGGGGTGAAACCCAAGGGGCGTCCACTGGGTCCCCCACCCAAAACAAGCTGCCCCGCCCACACGTCCACAAGGACTCGGCAGCTGGAATAGCAGGGGGCGAGCTGGCTGAAATCTGCGCCTCCGCTCCACTCCTCTCTGCAACGTTAGACAGCCTGTCGCTGGCACCACGGCCAGGCCTGGGCACATCCTATGACCATTTTCTTAACGACCAGTTTAGAGGAATTAAAAATTTAAATCAGCTTAAAAACACAAAATGAAGCTGGGCACAGTGACTCATGTCTGTAATCCCAGCGACTC